AAAATGTAGTTTGTAATCATTTATTTCAAATGAGCCTACACAACCTCCAAAACTAGAGTACTAATCCAATTTTGGACTAGAGGAAGTGTTCAAGAGGTTATTTAGTGAGTTAAGGACATGATTAGGTGGTGCTTTAGGGAGGATGAATTTGGTGGGAAAAGTAAGACTAACGATTTTGTATGGGAGATAAGAGGAACAACTAGACAACATCACAATTGGTGATTGATTGATGGCAGAAGCATGTACTATTTTTTTAAAAATTCAAGAAAGTATCCAAACACATGAAATATTTGGACCATATTCATTCAGAGTGTGACTGACAATAGATCAAATTTAAATATACACTATACATTTATTTTGTAAATGTTTTTCTGTACATTTTCTTTTGCTCACTAATTGTACTCGTTGAAATTTCAGTGAGGCAATGGTGGAGTACATGGAAGCACTAGACAAGCTAGGAATGACAATAATGGAGATGTTGGCTAATGGGTTAGGGCTTCAAAGTGACTTCTTCACAAAGAACTTTGAAGAAAAGGACTCAACCATGATCAGGATTAACAAATACCCTCCTTGTCCCTTACCTGAAAAATGTCTAGGTGTGGGCAGCCACACTGACCCTCACACCTTGACAATATTGTTGGCAGACAACGTTGGTGGTCTTCAAGTTCTCAGGGATGACAATCAGTGGGTTGGAATCCGACCCATCCCTAACTCCTTTGTCATCAACATTGGTGACACCCTTGAAGTAATCTCTCTTTTTCTTTCTCTCTCAAGACACATATATAATCTTCTATCTCCAAACCTTTTTATTGCTTTGTCTTAAAATATTAACTGGGGAAAAATTTAGCACACTGTGCAACGAGTCGGACTGGTTTGAACTCGAAGGTTTGATTGCGTAAAAAACACTAGGAAAAAGACCACAACTGGTGGTCAGCTAGGGAATTTTTTGATACCTAAATCAGTATGTGAATAAGGACAAAAAAATTATGAATGTGTAGGTTATGTTGGAGTGTAAACCTTTTATATAGTGAGTATGATGATAACTCATTCAGATTATTCTTCCACCTTAGATGAGAGTGTGCCCCCATAATAATTGGGCATAGCCTCTATCCACTCACTTAGTTGGGATACCCCTCAATTACCTCAACAAGCATGGGCCTAACTAAGTGGTATGATAGTGCATGTGTCCACTGTCCATGCCAAGATATCATGTTAATTTTGGTTCCCATGTTAGCAATCGTTGGATTATATTTTGAGATTCTTGTGCCTCAAGATTATTTACATAATCAAACAATTGAGATTATTTTGGGACAAAATGATTTGGGGAGATCCAAATATTTTATATCCTACTTAGGTACTGATTATTAGGAAGAGATCCTTTGTCCCTTATCACAATTAGATAATGTGACAAAGATTTCAAAACATGAATGACTTAAAGTGTATTGTAACAAAAATATATGAATTTTGAAGACAGAGAATCTTATGCTTGACAATCATAAACAGTTATATATATTTAAACCAGTCATATTAGAAACTCACAATTTATAATTGGCAATTCACTTACAATAACATAATAAGGGAGTTGAATTTTACATGATTGAATTCGTGACAAAATTAAAATTTGACATGTCATTATAAGTAAAATAGGAGACTCTTTAGGGATCAATCTTCTCCCTATTCAAACACATATCTTTCGAATAAGTTCATATAAGTAACTTTTTTTTTCTTTTTTTCTTTTTTTAAATTGGTAAAAGTAATACTTTATGAAGTAATATACTACATGGATTCTGTAGACATGGACAAATGGGAGGCTAAAGAGTGTGATACACAGAGCAGTGGTGAACAAAGAGAAGAGCAGACTATCAATTGCATATTTCCTAAGCCCTGCACTTGTACCATCATAGACAGTCCTCCAGAGCTCTTGGAGGACCCTAACACAGACCCCCCTATAAATAGAAAGTACGTCCCATTCACTTGGGCTGACTTTAGGAAGGAGCTTCTCATTCAAAAGAGGGTTATTGGCAAAATTGCACTCAACGGATATCTCATTTCTCCTTGACTTTAGGAAGGAGCTTCTCATTTTTTTTTAATATTAAAAAAATACAGCACATAAATGTGTGAAATATAGTGCACATTAAAATAAATAAATAAATATTTAAAATATAAAATATTGACCCTAAAAAAAATAAAATTAAGAAATATTTTAAAAAATAAATTCATAAAAATTTAAAATACAACTCAAAACTCTTTTCAAAACTCATAACCAAACAAATTTTCGCTTTTCAAAACTCAATTCAAAACACGATTTCACACTCAAATTATGATTCTAAAAATAATTTTCAAAAAAAAATAAAAAATAATTTTTTGAATTTTTCCTTTTAAAATAGAGTTTTGAAAAATGTTTGGTTTTGAGTTTTGAAAAAAGTTTTGAATTATGAATTTTGAAATTAATTTTTAAATTGAGTTTTGAATAATTTTGAATTGTGTGTTTGGTTATAAATTTTAAAAAGCGATGTGAAAATTTTGCCTTTGAAATCATGATTCCAAAGGCAAACCAAACACAATCTATATTTTCCTTTAGAAATAAATCTTTGTAGTGTGCTCCAACATGAAGTTGGCTAAAACACCAGATATCCTATTAATTTTGTATATTTTTTGAAGAGCTAATAGGACAAGTGTTCTACTTTGAATAATGTAAAATAATGTTTTAAGACCACTAAATAACTTCTCGACATGGCTGTGCTCCGTCATGTCATGTGGCTCTCAAAGGATGTTAAATAATTGGAAAAATTGCAAATCAATGAAACAATGAAAAAATAATTGCATTATAGATGAAATTTTTTCTAGTGCAGTTATGATACACAGAGTTGCACCAGACATAAGAAGGACTTGCACCATGCACATAGGACATTTGCACCAACATAAAAATATAAATATTATTCATTTTCTACTGCATTATGCCATAAATATTATTTAATTTCTTTCATCATAACTCTATTTCGTCTCATTTTCATGTCGTTAGATTCACCTCATGGCCTAATTTTCATTCCACCCCTCATACACCTTGTTCCACCTCTTTTTGCATGTTGTTGGGGCTCTAAAAGTTGGCCAAAAATAAGATCTCTCTCTCTTTCTCCGTCTATCTTCTGTCTCCATGCTTCTTTCCTTCCTCTTTCATTTCCACAATTATTCTCTCTTTTCTCTTTTTTCATAGCCCTTCCCTCCACTCTTATGTTTCTTTCCATTCTTGTAAGTCATATACATTCATATTCGATGACACCGCCACTATTGGGGGTTCGGTGGCCACCATGAGCTCGGCGAAAGGGCCATGAAGGAAAAGGGAAGAAGTGAATAATTGTGGAAATGGAGTAGAAAGAAAGAAGCATGAAGATAGAAGAGAAAATTTTTATGTTTAGCCAACTTTTGGAGCTTTGATGGCATGCAAAAAGAGGTGGAATAAGGCACATGAATTTTTATTTTTATTTAGTTTGAGATCCTATGTTGGGTTGTTTATTGTAATTTCTGCTTATAAATATTGATTATTTTGAAACTGAAAGAAGAGTGCTTTTACATTCTATTTATAGATTATTAATTGGATTAAATTCATTTTACCCCCTTGTGTTCGTGGACTGAAGCACTTTAATCTCCTATGGTTTAAATATGACTACCGTTAATTTTTTCATCAAAACTAACGGAATGTGTATTACAGAAATGGAGTGAGTTTGGTTTTTCTTAAAATTAAAGTGAAATTAATACAACAAAAAGATAATTTTATCCCCATTTTCTTTCAACCTAAAATTAAATTAATATGTTAATTAAAATAAAATAAAATAAAATAAAATAAAATATAATTAAGAATTTATCTAAAATATAAAATATAATTAAGAATTTATTTAAAATATAATTAAATAAAAATATAAATAAATAATAATTAAGAATTGAACTAAAATATAATTAAATTAAAAATAGATTAACATGTTAGAAATTATAATCAGATAATTAAGAATTTAAGATTAATTGTGATCTAAAATATTAAATTAGAATTAGATTAAAAAGTTAGTAATTATAATAAATAATTAAATATTTATAATTAATTATGATATAAAATATAATTAAATTAAAATTAGAATAAAAAGTTAAGAATTACAATAAATAATTAAGAATTTATAATTAATTGTGATATAATTAAATTCATGTTAGACATTATAAATTATGTGTATGAAAGAGAGAGAGAGTAACAAAAAAGATAGGGCTAGAAAATATTATAACCATTTTACATCTATAATTAATAGTGTTAACGATTATTTTGGTTCAAAATCATATGAGAGCTTTTTGATTATATTTGAACTATTAGGTCAAAGTATTTTGATTTCAAACCACAAGAAATAAAATAAATTTAACCCTTATTAATTTTCAATTTAAAATACGATGCAGCAAATGTGCCCATTGCCCTTTCAATGGTTTGTGGCTCATATCAAAGAATAATGGAAATTAATTGAGCTAATTAAGGTGCCAATTCTGTCCGGTATTTTGGGAAGTGGCTTTTTTTAGTTTATTGATTTATTATAAAAAAAATGCATAAAACAAAATAGAGAGATGATGTGATCTAAATAAACTAATAAATCAATTAGTTATTTTTTTTTTATCTTTCCAAAAAGGGCTAAAGTAACTTGAATTTTGCTTCCATGATTTAATTTCAATAGAAAGAAAAAGAGAAAAAAAAGAAAAAGAAAAAAAAAGAAGCTAGTATTGGACAGTGATATATATATATATATATCTATATAATAAGGGAAGAGAGTTTTTGAAAATGTATAAAATGTATGAGAGATACATTTTGATCCAATGGCTGAAATTAATTCCAAATTTAAAATATATAGCTCAGATTAATTCCAATGTTAGATCTCCCGCCCGTGACTTCTCTCCACCTACCCACGTGCGCCTCTCTCTTCCTCCTATCTCTTTCATATTATGTGATGCTGTGTGTGAGTGTGTGTGTTTGGGAGAGCTACACAGAAATTTGGGAGAGCTACATAGAAATTTAAAATATTATGGCTTCGATTCAAGCTTAGGGTTTCTTTTACCGTGTGTGGTTGGGAGAGCTACACAGAAATTTTCTCGGGGCTGAGAAAGTCCCAGAAAATGGCGAGAAACAACGCACAGGGCGAGAAACAACACTCCGGCGCTTCAACCGCCTCCACCTCCGCCTCCGGCTCCGCCTCCGCCATTATCAGAGTTAGATCCAGACCCGATCCTTTCTTGGTCGTTTGTCGATGCTTCAGCATCGTAACCTCTGCGGCTGCCATTCTCTGCATCTCTGTCAACATTCTCTCTGCCATTCGTTCCTTCAAAGATGGATCTGATGTATGTAATCCCCCTCTCTCTCTCTCTCTCTCTCTCTCTCTAGATATATGCCTTTGGATTTGTATGTAAATTTATTGTTTTGTGGATATTTGTAGATATTTGATGGTATATTTCGGTGCTATGCGGTTGTGATTGCAATGTTCGTGGTCGTTGCCGAGACAGAATGGGGATTCATCATCAAGTTCTGGAAGGTTTACTTTCCAATTTTGGATTTTAATTTGTTCTACGAAATTTGAATGTCCATATAATACAAAAATGTTAGAGATGAAACATAAAAAATGTTTGAATGTCCATATAATACAAAATTGTATGAAATTTGAATGTCCAGATTTCACTTTCTTCATACTATTCTTCACAAGGTGATCTTGGTTGGTTACATGAGATTATAGTGGAAATTTTACAAATTTCATAAAACCTATTCACTTGCTACCTGGTTACATGAAACATATCGTCATAGCTTACGCTGTAGTTATTGGTTTTGCATGCCAAGTTTTGGGTAAAGCCTTAGCTTGGAAACCCTTTGGTTTATCACAAAGCTCACATTATCTTGGATTGATTTCAATCAATTATTTGCAGGTGTTGGAGTATTGGGCTGCTAGGGGTACGCTGCAGATCTATAATGGCTCACATTTTTTGTGTTCCTGTTATGTGGCCCCTGTTTATGAAGATTCTGCATCAACTTATGGCCCCTGTCTGTAATGGCATTTTGTAGTTTAATAGGAACACACAAACTGCCATAACTTATGGCCATTATAGACATTATAGATTATGCATCAACACAACAACAACACACAAACTGCCATAACAGGAATGTTACAAAATGCCATGTTGAGTTTGCTTTGAAATCCTTGACTTGGGTTCATTTCTATTTATCATCATTTCTCTGCTTCGAACCCCGATTGGAGCTCTTCGGGTTCGTTTTCTTCTCTTGTCATTTTGAGTTTGCTTTGAATTGCGATTTCAGATTTTGCCTTCAAAGGCTTGCGAAGAAAGCAGAAAAATTCCAGGTGAGATTCTAATTGCGAACATATTGAGTTTGCTTTGAAATCCTTGACTTGGGTTCATTTCTGTTTATCATTGTACGAGCACGAAATATTGTTCTCGTATAATCATGTTGATCAAGATTGCGCTCCTCTGTACGTCGTCGTTTTACTCCCTGAAAACATAAACGTGAGCTAGGGGTAGCCCCACCTCTCAAATTTCAATTCCATAATTTTATTAATGAAAAAGTCTAGAAACACATATACTGATCATATGAAAATTATGTCTGATTTTTAGAAACACAGAAACTAATCATATAACGATTGCCTCTGATTTTTAAATTGGTTTCTATGCAAAGAGATGTACTGTTTTATTTATATACAGAATTGACCACTAATATACAGTTACAATTTAGAATTATGAGGGGCAAAATTTAAGTGTAGTAGTTTATAATTATTCAATGACAAGCTCCAATATTTAATATCTGTAGTTATATTTTTTTCTCGTGTATCTTTTGTGATTAATTTTATGATTAGTTTTATTGTTGTTGAAACTATGATATGGGTAAAGGTAAAAATTTCAAATATTCATGGATTTGGGTCATTTCTGTTTTTCTCAAGAGGCATCCAGGTGAAACTATGTGGAATAGCTCAATATGGTAATCTCATAGGTGTTACAATTGGATACACAATAACGGCATCTATTAGTATGGTGTGAGTATAATTTTAATGGACTTGCTTTTCGGTTTGAATCTCCTTATTAGTCTTTTATTGTCTTATTTATAGTAAGGGGAGAATTCTTCCCAATCCACTATGTGAGTTGGAGGCTTTGTGGGGGTGTAGATATACCATAAAATTATTTAATTTGTTTATTTGTTATTTGTAAATTATTCATAAACAAAATTATATTAATTTAGTAATTATAATTATGTGATTTTATATATAAAAAAAATTGTGGATTATTTTAAAATTATACTTATCGTCTATTTTTTTAAGATAAATATATATGATGAAATAATGTAGTTATAATTATCTCATCAATCTAATTTTTCTCATAACTAATTTGTACATAGGATTTGAAAAAATGAACAATTCAAATTATCATAATAACGGACTAAAATAATATTAAGATTTGAATTGTTCAGTTTTTTAATCAACATTTGAGTCTTAGATCACAGTTTTTGAGTCTTTCTCATTACTCAAATTTTAAAATCACTAAATGATTCACCTAATGATCATTGTTCGAGTTTAGAAAAAATAAACATAAAAATGAAAACAAAAGCAACAATTGTCACATTTTTTTTCAAATACTCCCCCACAAAAATGCATAGTCAGTCTATACATGCGTAATAAAATTTTCAATAGATTTCATTGTGTAGTCACCTTAAACTGGGGGTATGACTCATGAGAGCAGAGGCATTATTCATTCTTCATAGCAGCCGGTTTTAATTAAACGATATTCAAAATATTTTTACAAACATAGTGTACATGAATTTACAGACATAGTTTACATGAATTTACAGAGAATCACCGAACTTCGCATCACAATCAGAAATCGTTAAAACCACAAACAATTAACTAAATTTTCAGCAATTAAAGCAACAATAGGATGAACAAACAATCTCAATGCAAATAACCATAGAGAATTCACAACAATTGGGATTCTTTTGTGCTATATAGTATAAATCTGTTGATCAACATTTGATATGTTAAAAAATAAAATCTAATGACTTCAGTTTCCGCTTGAAATTTCAGATTTTGGCTTGAAAGGCTTGCGAAGAAAGCAGAAAGTTTTCAGGTGAGATTCTAATTGCGAACATATTGAGTTTGCTTTGAAATCCTTGACTTGGGTTCATTTCTGTTTATCATCATTTCTGATCAACATTTGATATGTTATAAAATAAAATTTGCACATATCAAATTTTATCAAACAAAATTTCTTTATATCAATAAATTTTATTCATATCATCTTTGGGAATTGCACAGTGTGCTTGCCACCCCACAAAACCCCCCTTGAGAAACTCAGAGACAGACTGTTTGAGATTTTCTTCCAAGATGATCCTCTTCACAGGTTCAAGAACCAAGCATGCTGTCAAAAATTGCTTCTGGGTCTTCAATTTTTCTTCCCTGTTTTTCAGTGGGGACCCAATTATAGTCTAAATCTTCTAAGGTCTGATGTCATCTCTGGTCTCACCATTGCAAGCCTTGCAATCCCACAGGTATATATGTATATATATAAGATACCAATTATGAAAACTTTAGTTAGGCCTGTTTCAATTAGATATATGTATATATGTATATATGTATACATATAAGATACCAATTTGATTGGCAGCAATAGCACTAACTGGTGTGCATTTTAGTTTTAATTTCTTTTAAATTGCAGAGCACTGGCTGGTGTGTATTATTTGATATTTAATTTTTTTTATATTTGATTTGTTTGGAATTGTAGAGTACAGTCTGTTAAATATATTTTTATAACTGTATTTTAATCTTAATATTATTTACACCGTGCCTTTAGGTACGGGCATACGCTAGATTATTATTTACACCGTGCCTTTAGGCACTGGCTGGTGACAAACAAATATGATTATAATAAATTAAAATTTTGATTGGATGGGTTAAAGTCATTTTTTTTTTCTTCTTCCCTTTACCCCTGTGACTCAACTCAATATATTTTAGTTTCGTTGGGTGAAAATCATCCCTTATTTTGTACAAGAGCTAAACTTATTCTTTCTTTTATTTATTTGTTTTCTTTCTTTCTTTCTTTCTTTCTTTCTTGATTATCAGGTCATCCTTTATGTTTACTTAACTTTCATTAGCTGTTAATGGATGTAGTTATATTGAATTTATTGATAGTATATTCTGTGTCATTTAGCAGGTTCATGTATAGTCCAGTGTATAAATTGTTTTCTTCTTAGTTTCATGAAACCCCATATTTCACCTCCTCTCATTTCATATATATCTATCGGGTTATAATTTCTACTAGGTTTTGTTTGTTTTGATGTTTTTGTGAAGTTTAAGGTGCCATTCATGGGTATTTTGTTTCATGAAATTAACTGTTCTATTTTCATATCCCTATTATATAAAAAATGGGTATAGGCTGATATGTTGCATTTACTTTCCTAAGATTTGAATCAGAGAAAGAAAGAGAAACTTTTGTAGTAGAGAATAAACAGAAGATATTTGTAGTTTCAATTATATTTTTAGCAATAAAATTTGATGTTATCTGCCACTTTAACAACAAATTTAGTACATCACTAAATTTGTCTTTCTTGGGTTAATAAAAATCCCGGTGGTATAATTCCAAAGGGAATGGTTACCTTATGCATATGATTTTTTGCTTCTTTTTTTTTGAGCAATAGTTTGAACAATAGTTTTGAACAATCAATTCTATAAATTAATGTTACAATCAATTCTATAGTTTTGAACAATCAACGAAATGCAAATTCTATATATGCATATGAACAATCACAGAAACAGTACAGTTTAATGTTACATTGAAATCTCAGCAACCCAGCAGAGGGTTTTGTTTTAACAATTGGTTACTACAATACCCAGAAGAAAGTTTTGATATTTTTTGCTTTTAAATATTTTGGGTGGTGTTTTGTGGTTCAGAATTTGTGAATTTTGTTGCTGCATTTTAGGAAAGGAAAGTTGTGTTTGGTAGGATTCACTAAACAGTGAAACATGTTCAGTTTAAGTGTTGAATTTGGTGTTTCTACTAAATCACTGGTTGAGGAAGTTTTATGGTTCAAATTGGATTTTGATCTCATCCCTATGTTTAACATTGCCAGAGATATGATATTTACTGTTAGCTTCTGAATTCGCATTTTCTTAGCCTAGCAAAAGAAAAGAAAAGAAATGAAAAAGCAGGGGGATTAGAAAGGAATTTTGTAACTCACATGTGAGTTAAATCTCTCAGTAATGTAGCATCACTCTACTAAATTTTAATCCAAATCAAGAAAAAACTAAAGAAAACAAATTGGCAGCAATCTACAAATCTGACCTATTAGAGGTGTTTTAAATTATTTGTTTTCTTGAGCTACATTCACCAAGGATTAGTAAAACAATGGAGTCACGAATAAAGTGTTTAGGCATATAGACAATTACTTGAAGTGATTATGGGCAGTGTATAGTCGATTAGGCTACTGGGTTTTATTTATATGGACTATTCGATTTGAATTAATTAGATTCACTGCTTAATTTAAAAAGGCCAGCTTTATATAGTTTCAATACATGTTTCTGTATAGAACACATTGT